AAACGCGAGTAAGAGTATCAGACCTGAGACTTAAAGATGGTAGTTACGCAGATTCTGACCAGGATAAAGCTGAGGCATCGAACAGCTTCTTTTCCTTGGTGTTCACAAGAGAGGGTGTGATTAACCTTCCTGCGTTTGACAAACGGTTCGACACAGCACTGACCTACATTGTGTTCACAGAAGAGGGTATTAGAAATAAACAGTCAAAGATAAAGGTACATAAGAGTCCCAGCCCTGACATGATGCATCCCTGAGTGCTAAGAGAGTTGTGCAACGTACTTGCCGAACCCCTGAAGATCCTGTTTTGTAAATGCCTGGATGAACAAATGGTCCCCAGTGATTGGAAAGTGGCTTATGTGTGTCCAATCTTCAAGAAGGGTGATCATCACTCCACGAACAACTATAGACCGGTGAGCCTGACCAGCATAATATGTAAAGTACTTGAGAGTATTATCAGAAATGCAGCGATGGAACATCTACTACGAAACAACCTTATAAAGGATTGCAACACGGTTTTATGCCAGGGCGCTCCTGCTTAACACAATTGCTCAAGGTATTGAATATTTGGACCCATATTCTGGAACGGGGTGGTAATATCGACAATATATACCTAGATTTTGCCAAGGCTTTCGACAGTGTACCCCACGAAAGGATGAAAATCAAACTGGAAGGGTACGGAATTCGGGGAAATGTCCAAGCGTGGATATTAGACTTTCTACGTGACCACAAGCAGTGTGTGATGATTAATGGCACAAAATCATTATCTGTAACTGTGTCACAAGCGGGGTCTCACAGAGCAGTGTATTGGGCCCGCTGTTGTTTGTTTGTCTCATAAATGACATGCCTGACGTTGTACACTCCTCCATACAAATGTTTGCCGATGATGCCAAGTTATTTCGGGAAATCAAGAACCATGCGGACTGTGAAGAGCTGCAGAAGGATCTCTGTGAGCTCCAAGAATGGTCGAAGAGTTGTGGGTCCAGGATACACCTGGGGCATACCAACGGAAAGGAGGCGTATCATATGTCCCAACGGAATGAAGAAACTGCACTATTTGAGACTTAATGTGAGAAGGACCTAGGTGTGTATGTTGACAATGAGCTGAAGTTCTCGGGCTATTGTGAGAAGAAGGTAAATCAGGCAAATAAATCATTGGGTCTTATAAGAAGGTCGTTCAGATAACGATCGTAACGATCTTCAAGAATGAAGTGCTTCCCCATATGGAGTACTGTCACCCCGTCTGGTCAAAGGAGGACCACCAGACTGGTGCCTGCACTTCGGCACCTCAACTACCCTGAGAGGTTGGAGCTCCTGAACTTACCTAGCTTATACTACAGACGGGCAAGGGGCGACCTAATTAAGGTGTATAAACATCTCAAGGGGCACTACTTGGTCGAGTGTCCTTACTTGGAGCTGGCAGATGCTCGCCTCACAAGGGGTCACAGCTCTAGATTGAAGAAGCCGCAGGTCGAGAAAACTGTGAGGGTAAACTTTTTCGGAGTGAGAGTTGTGAACTCTTGAACAATCAACCAGAAAGTGTTGTGATGGCACCGGCCCTGAGGATTTTGTCTTCTTTCATTTGTTTATCTTCTTAAGAACATCATCTTTTCTGATAGTGATATTCTTTAATTTATCTTCTTCATTTCCCATAAATATCAGTTCCACCTCTGGCATTTCCTCGTGAATTCTTCTGTGAAAACTGATAAAAATTAGCTGATTAATGCTTTGCTTATTTTCTCACTATCATCCATCACTTCCCCTCTCTCTGACTTTAAAGGCCCCACTTTGTCCTTGACCTTTGTCCTATATACCTGGAAAAATCCCTTGCTATTCGCCTTGGATTCTCTTGCTATCCTGATTTCGTAGTCCCTCTTTGCCTTCCTTACATTTTTCTTAACATTCCTAGATAGTTCATTACACCTATTTCTGAGATGCTCCTCCCCTCCCTTTAATTTCTTATAAATTCCTTTCTTTATTCCTGTCATGTTTAAGTTTGTTGGTCATTCACATTGGCTCATTCTTATTTGGCCTAATTTTTCGGTATGGTATATTTTGTTCCTGTGCTTTACGTAGTACACTAGTGAATATATTATAGTCATGATCAATTGTTGTGTCGCCGGTGACCTCACCCGTTCCTACTGGGGACTGACCTGACTGTTCCCAGGCGACCTCACCTAGGTACCTTCTTAACCCCTCATAATCCGCCGATCGAAAGTCTGGGACTCTGACCACAATTGTCATTGTCTTTCGTTTCCCAATATAGGGTGAACCTGAATTCTCTGTGATCACTGTTCCCTAGTTCTTCCCCTATTGTGATATCTCTATAATATTTAATTTATTTGTTAATACTAGGTCTAATATATTGTCACCTCTGGTAGGTTCTGTAATTAGTTGTTTAAAAAAAATGTCCTGTACTGCGTCTAGCCAGTCTTCAGATTGATGGTCACCTATACTGTAATGTTGTCCCAGTCAATATTTCGGAAGTTGAAATCCTCCATAATGCACATGTATTTTGCTGCCCTACTCATTTCCTGCCATATGGGCTGAGCTGCTTCTTTCCCAAAACTTGGGGGCCTGTAAATCACTCCCATAATTAGTTTGTATCTTCCTTCCGCAATTTCTACCCATACAGACTCGGTTCCTATTTCACTCTTTATTGAATTATTAAAAAACCATTTTAATGTATCCCTGACGAAGAGTGCGACCCCTCCCCCCTTCCTACCTTCCCTGTCCTTGTGAAAAAAGTTGTACCCTTCCATGTGGTACTCTGATAAAAAGTTTTTGCTCGCCAGATTCATCCAAGTTTCGGTGATTGCTATGACATCTACATTCTCGGTACATACAACCGCTCTCAGCAAGTCTATTTTATTTCTAATGCTCCTACTGTTTGTATCGTATACATTTAAACCTACCTTTCCCTGGCCCTGTTTTACCCCTTGTCTTGAGTAACCAATTTTACTCCCCAGGACCTGCTTATTTTTTACTCCCACTTACCCTGACCTCTCTCTACTGGCGAAACCCCCCCCTTGGAGTGACAATTTCACGCTCCAGGGATGCAGACAATGGGCTGGATACTCAAAAACATTTATGGGACTGTATGTCTTTGTTTACCCCGTAACTGGACTTACAGTCTCAGATCGGTATACTCAAAACACAGATGGCATACTCAAAACACAGATGGTATACTCAAAACCAATATTTGACATCGAACTCCGTAAGTTAATGCAAGTAACTTACACCACCTCCCGAGGTTGTGTAACACTCTCAACCCGGATGTAGTAGTGACTAATTCCCGATTGTATAGAAAATAATAATAATATATGTTGTAATAATGCTTGTTAGACTTGTTTTATCATAGAATAAAGAAGAAAATGTTTTGTACATCAACATACTGAAATATAATATTTCACTTTGTCTTTTTCGTAACTTTTTTGTTGTATAATAAGTGGCTTGAGTGTTTGTCTCAGTTTGGAAGAGACGCATCTTTTGTCTTCTTACACATTATAAAGTATTTCTTACCAAAATAGAAGGTTTGTATTGTTCACACTTAGGGTAAAAATATGTTTTATGACTGAGTAAACTTGCAGATAGAACTTATTAATGTTGTATAGCCGTCAATATCCCTCAGTAATGAAAGCCAAATATGAGGTCAAGTGAACATTCCTGCCAAGACTTCGCCTTGTTTTTCTAATATTCAACCAATAGCCTTAGCCTATTTCCTTATGTATATAGAGTATGATAACATGAAAGGCTATAAATTTCCATAGGCTAGCCAAAATTAAATGATATTAGGTGTATAATATGGATTGCAATTAACTTGATTAATAGGGGCCTATATAACTGCTTTTTCAGTCTTAGGCAAATAAATGTTTAAACATGGGGCCTACTTAGTTTAGTTAGAACATGAGGATTATTTAAATAAGAAATTATACTAATAGGATATAGGTTAGATAGATAGGTTATGTACAGGTAGTCGTTGCCATAGAATGGTTGCCAGTTATCAATGAACGCCCAGCCATTGCTTGCACAATGTTTTTCCAGTCGGCAATTTATAGCAATTGCCCTGGACAGCCATTCACCGCTAACTCCTCTTCTAGGCAAGACACCACATACTATCGGCATAAATCACCAGATTTATTTTAAATGTATAACTTTCCCAAGTCTTATAACATATTACTGACACCTTTCCTCTAATAATAAGAAACAAAGATCAGTCATAATAAGGTCTATTACCTTTTGAAACCACAAGTCGGCTTGGTGTCACGATTATGTCTGAGACATACATACTATACAAATATTTGAGGATTAGGTAAATTTTTACACAAGAACAAGAATGGAGGAAACTTCAGCGGGCTTATTGGGCAGTCCCATTTACATCCGACCCCTATCGCTCATATATCCATCCAACCTATGTTTGAATCTATCCAGCATATTCGAGTTAATGATGATGTTTGGTATCTTGTTCCACTCATCCACTACTCTATTTCCAAACCAATGTTTACCTATTTCGCGCCTAAATCTAAATGTCTAATTTAAAACCATTGTTACAAGTTCGCTCCTGGTTGGATATACAAGTGGAAAACCATGGATTTTTGTTGATCAGTGTGTTTTTCCAATAGTTTTGACAATGTTGAGACACTTTTTTTCTATGACTTAAAATTACCTAACCTAACCTCCTAACCGGGGGGGTTCCGCTGGTATATTTAAGTCATTTGCTAGGGAAACGTCATTGAAGAAAAGTTTCTTACCACTGTCTAAACCATCGGAAAAACATGCTCAACAAAAATCCATGGTTTTCCACTTGTAAAAATTTACCGGGGATTACTATATGGATAAATAATTTTCCTGTCGTAAGTGTTTCTTGAGAAGTATTTAAAACTTAATAAAAAACGACCCCACTTCAGGAGGAAGCTGGTTTCATCTTGTATTAGATGAGTCGCTAGCATGATAAACAAAACTACTTACGTAACCAAACTTCCTGGAGAGCAGTACACACTTACCTCAATATGCAGCTCAAGGCCGATGTTCTCGTGGTGATGTTTAATCAATGCAGACGATACAGAACTTGCCCTTGTTCGCAGGTGTTGTCAGTGTCCAGCGACTAGTTTAACTCATTCTTTCGTCAACTTTGACGCACAATTTTCCTTGTTGAATAGATTTAGTACTTCGAAAAGGTGTATTGTATATTTCTACTTAAAACATTATTATTTTATATTACATAACTATCCTCTCAGCGCTCTATTTACAAAAATTACTAAACGTTTGATATTGTTTGCAGCATTGCAGAATTGATTCTACTAATGGCTTTCGATAACATACAACAAACTACAATGTAGCCACATGCTTGTTCACTTTATATGCACTTACAGTATAAAGAGTTCTCAGACACTTTCAAACATTTTACGAAGAAACATAATATTACACTTATTGGTTTATTTTGTAAATATCTGGTGTGGCGCTGTCAATGTCCTTAGGATATTTAAGGGCGCATTTAATGTAATGCCCCCTAACATTTAAGGTTCTTCAGTAAAAACTTTTTTTTACTAAACTCAGTGACACACGCGTGTTTTTCACCACTATTAAACTATCCAGCAAATACACACTTGTTGAGCTAGTCTCAGGCGTTGAGAAGGATGCTTTAAGGCCAGGTGGTTGAGGGGAGGGGAGATGGTTGGCCAGCTGTTATTGTGGAAGTGACACGTCCGCACACCGCCACACACCACACTACACTGTCCCAGACATCGTGCGGTCGTGCCTCGAACAAATATCCTTCACTCCCGGTACCCAGTGGTAGAGTATGATGGTCCGGTTACAACACTTAGTAAGCCAGGGGTAAAGTCGGTAAAGGAAGGTGATAACTCGGGGACGAGACTACCCGGGCTGATAATCGCTGTTGACGCTTCACAGAATGTCAAACTAGTTTTTCCAACATCGTAACTTCTGAGCAGATCTGAAAGACTAGAAAATGGATGGAAAGTTTGTTATAGAGACAAGAAATACAGATGTCACATATTATACCGTATATCGAACTTGTAATTAGTAGTTAGAGGACATTGAAGATTAATATGGCCGACTTCACTACAATTGCGTCCGGTCGTGAGGTGAGGTTCAAAGTAGCCTCACTTCAGTATCAATCAACTCAAACCTTCTTCAACTCATATACGGAAGTGGTTTATCTGAACTTACATAGCATATGGTCATGGCAAACTTTGTAAGAATGGACTAGTAGAGCGATGGACTGGTGAAAATCAGAGTGATGGTGAGAGGGGTGGCTGGCGGGATGCACTGTGACCCTGACCATCAAGTACTCACCGGCTACCACTCATTGTTTGTTCTTTCATTGTAGCCTCCATCATGTACTGTTTCCTGTTTGCTTTTAAATATGCATCATTACCCAATAGACACACCTAAGCTTTATGTTTTCTCTTTCACCGTATTGTGTCTCCATCTTCCCTCCAGCGGCAACGTTAAATAATACTTACAGCAACATAATGTACAGTGGCTCCCCCACACCGAAGGGAAATGGGTCCACCATCAGCACTTATTTGTATTAGACATTTTTCTCTCAGTAACATACTTCATCGATGTTATCAGAAATATTTTACAACGTTACATTGTTAGAATTAAAACTTTGTGAAATACAAGTAAAGTTTTCAAAATCAAAACTTAGTATCAAATCATTGTAAAATTTTAAACAGAATTCCTGATACATCAAGTAGGAACGTTTGTAACAGTAAACACACACACACACCACTTCCCAGAGTAACCTAAATTTATAAAAATTTAATGTTTTTAATCAACCAAATTGTAAAAGTAGCACTCATAATGTTACACCCATGATAAAACTAACTTAACAGTCTAACGCACACATTGGGGGTTTCTACAAATTACCATCTCTGAGGAACATCGACTTGTAACATTATTGGTGTTGGTGTTACATTATTGGTGTTGGTGTTACATTATTGGTGTTGGTGTTACATTATGAGTGTTGGTGTTACATTATTGGTGTTGGTGTTACATTATGGGTGTTGGTGTTACATTATGAGTGTTGGTGTTACATTATGGGTGTTGGTGTTACATTATGGGTGTTGGTGTTACATTATGGGTGTTGGTGTTACATTATTGGTGTTGGTGTTACATTATGAGTGTTGGTGTTACATTATTGGTGTTGGTGTTACATTATGGGTGTTGGTGTTACATTATGGGTGTTGGTGTTACATTATTGGTGTTGGTGTTACATTATGAGTGTTGGTGTTACATTATGGGTGTTGGTGTTACATTATGGGTGTTGGTGTTACATTATGAGTGTTGGTGTTACATTATTGGTGTTGGTGTTACATTATGAGTGTTGGTGTTACATTATTGGTTTTTGTGTTACATTATGGGTGTTGGTGTTACATTATGGGTGTTGGTGTTACATTGTGGGTTTTCAAGGGCGGATCCAGAGGGGTCCTGGAGGTCCTGACTCCGATTTTTATCGGAAAATCCTAACACTTTTTCTTTAATGCAGTATTGTACTCAGGCTTCAAAATGTTCTCAAAATGCCCATGATATTGGTCAAATTTAAAACAAAAAATCTGGGGGGGCTTAAGTGCCCCCCAAAAACCCCCAGCTGGGTGAGCTCGCACTGCTCGCCATGTTACGCCACCCACAACTTCTTGGACTCCCCCTTTCGATATTCGTGGATCCGCCCCTGGAATGGAGGAAACTGCAGTTGGCCTATTGTACCATATTAGGCAGCACCGTTTACACTTTACACTCAACCTCTATTGCTCATATTATCTGTCCTACATTACATGCTACTGTACTTTCATTTACTGATGGAAAATTTATTCAATTCGGAAATAAATACATTTCTCGTCACCAACATACAGTTTAGTGTAAATTTCTTTGGTTTTGGGCTGATGTTTCACGGAGTCGAAAATATGATAAACACCAACGAATTGAAATAAGAAATTTGAAAAACTTGTCTTGAATAAACTTAATTATATATATATATATATATATATATATATATATATATATATATATATATATATATATATATATATATATATATATATATATATATATATATATATATATATATATATATATATATATATATATATATATATACTGTATATATATATATATATATATATATATATATATAAATATATATATATATATATATAAAATCACACAGGAAAAGGGAAAACAATGGAGCACCTTAGCTTCGTCTTTATTCAAGACATGTACACAGGATGACCGTACAAAACATGAGGTCAGGTCAAAAACAAAAATTCTATAATCCATAGTGATGGTCAGTACAAAACTGATAATATGTTACACAAATTTATTTGTCAGTGGCCCAAGGTTAAAAATGCTTTGAAAGCATTTGAGGTAGATGTAGGATAGATGATTGGTAGGTCTCATATTTTTTACCTGACTTAACATGACTAGTAAATTACAAGTGATCGTGGGCCCTTCGTGCCCAATGGCGAGTCCGGTGGTACAGTTTACCAAGGCGTGAAAGTTCGAACGCTCGTGCTTGGCTAGCGCTCAACCGCCGTCCTGCTGACAGGGTGCAGCGACATCGTTTCCAGATGGTCGTGGTTGTTATAATTATGGTCTTGGTTGTTATAATCATGGTCTTGGTTGTTATAATCATGGTCGTGGTTGTTATAATCATGGTCGTGGTTGTTATAATCATAGTCTTGGTTGTTATAATCATGGTCTTGGTTGTTATAATCATGGTCGTGGTTGTTATAATCATAATCGTGATTGTTATAATCATAGTCTTGGTTGTTATAATCATGGTCTTGGTTGTTACAATCATGGTCGTGGTTGTTATATTCATGGTCGTGCTTGTTATAATCATAGTCGTGGTTGTTATAATCATGGTCGTGGTTGTTAGAATCATAGCCGTGGTTGTTATAATCATGGTCGTGGTTGTTATAATCATGGTCATGGTTGTTATAATCATGGTCGTGGTTGTTATAATCATGGTCGTGGTTGTTATAATCATGGTCATGGTTGTTATAATCATGGTCGTGGTTGTTATAATCATAGTCATGGTTGTTATAATCATAGCCGTGGTTGTTATAACCATGGTCGTGGTTGTTATAATCATGGTCGTGGTCGTGATACTTACAGTATCTAATATACTATAAGAAGGAATAGAATAAAGGTTAGAATAATTAGTTAAAGAAATATTTGCCATAAGGAGAGGTTAAAATCATAAAAAAAAATTATTATGTCACCCATGATCATTCCGAGATAAATTATATTATGAAGAGAAGTGACCTTGATTTTGGTTAAATTAGTCACCATCTGCTTAAGTCATCACCTGTGTTAAGTCATCATAGTCCGTTTTAGGCCCATCTCACAGTGGCGTAGCTAGAGTGTGTGCCGCCTGAGGCGGCCGTTGAGTTTGCCGCCCGGGGCGGCCCTTGAGTTTGTCGCCCCCCCGTGCCCCCACAAAAATACATATTGCACAGTGACTCACTCTTATATACATATATATATATATATATATATATATATATATATATATATATATATATATATATATATATATATATATTAAATAGTTTGTGTACCATTATAATATTACTGTACTTTCACATACTCAAATATAGTATGCTTTAAATACACACCAAACATACTTAAACTTTATAAGTTTCCTTAATCCTCAACAGGTTACAGGTTGTGTGTGTGGCGGGGGGGGGGGGCGCATAGCAAGGGTGTAGCTCATGACGGCCGTGATGATGTGGGTCAGGTGTTAGGTCAGACACGACAAGGATTAACTTGCCGCCGATACAAAGGGATGGATTAACGTCTCCAGTAGCTGCAGATATGGGTGATGAGCAGACCCAAAAGTGCCGCCCCCAAAAGTGCCGCCCGGGGCGGACCGCCCCTAGCTACGCTAGTGATCTCACATGACTGACCGACCATCGATGTTCTTTCCGCGCGAGGGTGTTAGTTTTCAATACGTCTTATTATTTACGCTGGTGGATGTAAGGCCTCCTACCCTCACTGACGCAGCTATGGTCAATTTGGTGTTATTCTTGTTTATAAATGCCTTCTAATCTGTCTCAAGTCTATCCTTCCTGTCTACTGCCATCTCAACTGTCTGTTCGTCTGCGTGGTGTTTGAATGTAAGCCCGTCTGTACTCTTTGTGTCGTCAAATCTGTCTGTCTTATCTGTTGTTGGCGTGTGTCTGCCTCTTTGTCTAATGTGAACCAGTCAGTCAGCTGTCTGTCTGTCATGTTAGTTGCCATATTGTCTATTTGTGCATGTATGAATCTGTCTATTTTTGTCAACCTCCTGTCTGTTTCACTGTCTATATTCATCCTGTGTCTATTGTAGTCATCTTCTCCATGCATTCCTGTTATTATCTTTTTATCTCTTCTCCTTTTCCATGAGCCACAGGAATAAGTATACACTGTAGCTGTAAGGTCGTCTGGTAACGTTGAAACTGCATATCCAGAGGCATGATGAAACTCAGCTCCCCCCCACCTGTTATCTCTAACTATTTTCTGTTTCCCCTTCTTTATATATTCTTCTATTTACTCATCTTCCTTCCTTTACTAATCCAAACAACATTAAAAAAAAGTAGGCTAAGAAAAAAAGTGGGGGGAGGAGGAGGAAGCCGTACGATAACTGCAATCAACTGCAATGTGGGCTGGGTACGCCAAGTCCGTAGACTTGCATCGTTTTCCAGCGTAAATAAAATGGTTATGTAATGACTTCCTAAAGAAACCA